CTGGTAGTGTCCTGCTACTGCCAATCTCTTTCTTATAGTATTATAATAGGTATTCAGGGTCCACTTATGAGTGAGAACATGTGGTACTCAGTTCTGTTTCTGTGACAGATCTGAGTACGATAGATTCTAAATCTATTCAAGCTGCTGTGAAGTCCATCATTTTATCCTTCTTTAGTGCTGCACAATATTCCATCATATATATATGTACCACATTTTTTCAATCCAGTCTGTTTTCAGTGGTCAGCATGTTTGGTTCTTTTCATGGAATAAGGGTTAGGACAGGAGGGGGGAGTCTCTAGAAGAGAAACTTCCCCTTCTGAGCAGGAAAAGTAAATGATTGGGAAGACCATTTCACCTAGCCTCCTGATCTCCTACACCAGGAATTCCAGTACTACATGCCTTGAGCTGAGAGGTCAGGCAGAGTGAACTGTCCATAGTATTGAATTGGAATGAGAGGAGACAGTTTGTTTCAATAGTTCCAAAATATTAAAGGCATTACTTCTCTGACCCTCCAGCTCTGAGAGGATACCTAAGATAGCAGGACACCAAGAATTTAAGGCTTTCCCAAAAAGGTTGTCCAATACCATACTAGATCTCCTTCTCTGCATCAGTAGAAGAATCCCAAAGTAACTTCCAAATGCTGACAAGATGCTTCAGTGAACATGGCATCGATCAGTGTGCAAGCAGCTGATGTTAACTGGTTATGTCCCAACAGTACTCTTGATTAACAATGAGCGCTACCATTTATGGGGGGGTCTTCTATGGGCAAGGTAGTTTATGTACATTATTGCCACTGGAATTCCTAATGTATTTCTTCATGGAAATAATGTTATAATGACCTGATTTGGTCAGCCCTCCAAAAAATCCCATTTAATCTCCAATGTCCCTGAGGTATGGTATTGTTATTATAGGATCTAATTACCAGGTACAATGCTATCCCAGTGTACTAAAGAACACACCAAGATAGCTAGAATTCTAATATGGATTTTGAAGGCAATAGAAACTTGTGGGAACAAGAATACCTTCTCCCCTCCCAGCTATACGCATTAGCTGGATCATGTTAGTAGAGAATCCTCTTACTCCAAGCCAGGAAGGCAGCTGGTGCTCCAAGAAACCTCTTATGCTCTAAAATCCCCTCCGGTTCTTCCTACTATAGGCTCTAGGATGGAAGAGAGCTCAGGTATAGAAGGGTTCTAATCTTTGGTAGTGAAGGGAAGGAGCATTGCTGAAGCCACTGGACTACTCAACCGTTTCTATGTATGTCAGACTGCATGATTCAGAGCTGCTGGAGGGAAGCCTAGTAAAGGAGGTCACCCAAGTACTTCTCTGGAAATGGCTTTACCTCCAAATTGAACATCTGTCCAATCATACTACTGGTTAAATCAAAGAAACATAACCTAACACGAGAATACCACTCCAGTCAAATTTTTCTAAATGGAAAGGGAAAACATTAAGGACTATTTTGGCAGGATTAAGCTGTTCTCCTCTTATCAGAAAGGAAAGTCTGCAACCAAAGAGAGTGCCGCATCACCATGACATAATCGAGCCTCCTACAACATTCACGTCCATGACCTTGGCTCAAGACGGCACAAGAGATACACAGACGTCCACGTGGGAAGTTGGGTTAGTGACTGGGAGAACAAAGCTTCCTGGTCCTGACCTTTTGCTCCGTGAGCTGGAAAGGGCAGTAGAGAAGCTGGAGGGAGACCTTCAGGCCCTGGAGAAAGAAAGACCTGAAGTTCGTTGTCACCATCGCAGGACATGCATGCTCACCCAAGGTAGGACCTGGACTCTCAGTTGCCTTGTCATACTTTTAAGGGAATTGGCATGCACTCATTTTGTCCACAGCACTTCCTGCCACCAATGGATTATTTTTTGGTCATTTTTCCTCCAAGTTCCTCAAGGGATGATGAGAAATTATCAACTTACAGTAAGCGACACTTTAGAAGTATATGGAAGCACAGCAACAAGGGCCAGTCACTGCCCTGAGACATGGCTAGAACGAGGGCAGTCACCTATCCAGAGATGTAGAGAATATGTGGTTGCAGGTCACACCTTTATAAAGTGATCAACTTGCTAAACCACTTTGGGCTAAGGTAGCATAAACAAGAAAAGACTTGTGAGCTTTTGTCAGCCTCTCGCCATAGGGTCAAAACAGAAGGGAGGTCGGAGCAGAGGCCGCAGGTCCCCCACCCCTCTCCTGCTCGGTGGGGTGGGCTTCCTTACTTGACTTGGATAGCTGCTCATCCTGCGAAATGCCAAGCTCATCCGACTCCCCTGACAGCTCCTTGATGAAGTTGGAGGGAAACATTCCAGTCTTCCCATTGAGGACGCCTTCCCACCATCCTTCCTCTACCTGTTCAGATGCAAACAGAAGAACAGAAAATACAAGGGTCAGGATAGACATGGCAGTTCCAAGTGTTGTCTCCCATTTGTATGGTGCACCGTACAGAACCCACACAGGGAGAGTGAATGGACCCAAAGCTTAAAAGTCAACGGGGAATGAAAAAGCAGACCACACAGAGTTTTGAGATTCAGGCTAACAAAGGGGAGTTAACTTGGCATCCAAAATGCAAACAGACACAATTAATACTTCATTTTCACTAGCCTCTAACTGAAATTTAACATTTCCTTTGATGATGAATGTAGCTAATATACCGATATTAGAAGGATCTATGACTCATCACCAAACAAATCAAAGATATTTTCATATCACATCATTGACGCTATGGGTATCTCAAAATATCATTTGTGCTTATTGCTGCTTTGAAATGATGATAGCTATTACACCTGCTGGGAGACTTTTGTTATTTAATGTATTAATAAAGAAACATATAGATTATATCAAAACTTATTTTTAAAATAGTTTGATAGGTACTTCAACGCAAATGGTTCCCTTTGCAATTTTATGTGATCTATTTTATGCATTTAAAATGATTATTTTAAAACATAGAACTGGCCGGGTGGGAAGCTAGGTGGGAAGACTGCTTGAGCCCAGGAGTTCAAGACCAGCTTGACATAGTGAGACCTCATCTCAATAAAAAAATTAAAAAGTTAGCTGGGTGTGGTGATGCATGCCTGTAGTCCCAGCTGTTGGGGAGGCTGAAGCAGCAGTATCACCTGAGCCCAGGAAGTCGAGTCTGCAGTGAGCTATGATCACATCACTATATTCCAGCCTGAGTGACAGAAAACTCCAACTAAAAAAAAAAAAATACAAAATTGAGAGTGGTTTCCCCAGACTACCAAAACTAACTAGATAGCCTAGTAGATACAGTTAAGAATCTATTTGTGGGGTAACAACTCAATCAGAAGGTAGAAGAGCTTCTTGCAGGTTTCTGAGGGGTTCTAGGTTACCCTAGGATAAACCAGAAGGGGGAAAGGAAGTAGGAAGGTTAGCAAGACTGCAATCATCTGGATTGGAGGAGCAATGAGAATGGATGAAATGGATTCAGATTTGAAGCCCTTTGAGGCATGAGCTGGCCTTGAGCAATCAACTAGTGGGGATGGATGAGGGGGGGGGAAATCATCCCAAGATTTTGTGATGGAGCCACTAGTAAAACAGAAGTCAAAATAGCAAACTAGTTTCTTGGAGAGAAATCAGAACATTTGGAGAAGAAGCAACTATTAAGTTACCAGCAGTATAGTGTGGTATCATAGAACTGCTGGGTGTTTTGTTTTTAAACCACTTGCATGTACAGACAGTTCCCAACCTACAATGGGTCAACTTGGGAATTTTTAACTTCATGATGGTGCAAAAACAGTGCACATTCAGTTGAAATTGTATTTGGAATTTTGAATTTTGGTCTTCATATGCAATACCAAGGTGCTCTACAGTGGGCTATGTTGCCAGATGATTTTGCTTAACTGTAGACTAATGTAATTGCTCTGAGCATGTTTAAAGTAGGCTAGGCTAAGCTATGATGCTTGGTAGGTTAGGTGTATTAAATGCATTTCAACATATGATATTTTCAACTTACTATGGGTTTATTTGGCGTAATCCCATTGTAAGTTGAGGAACAGCAGTGTGATCAACCTAAATCAATAAATACAAAGTAGAAGTAAAATTAGAGTCAAAAGCCCAAGTAAGTTCAAATCTTATCTATCCTGAAACGTAGCAGATATGTGATCCTATTCAAAATTTTCCTATCAAAATAAACCCTGTTTTCTCTATCTGTATAACAGGGATAGTCAATACACTTCACAGTTGTTGTGTTTAGGCAGGACCTCAATCTGTGTGACAGGTATATGCATTATGATTCTACACTAGAGGTTGTACAGAATTGTACAGGACAAGTCATTATTTTTTTTTTCAAGAAGGTGACAATCTCTAAGACAAAAAGGTATAACTAAAAAAACTAGCAATGCAGGATAAATAGATAAGAAAATACCATGATTTAGTACAAATCAAACATGTTACACAAAGTTGAGCTCATTGAGACCTGGGATGCTAAGAAAAGGCTTCTCACAAAAAGAAATCAAAATTAAAGTAGGCCTTTAAGAGTAGAGTGCATGCCTGTAGTTCCAGCTACTTGGAAGGCTGAGCGGAAGGATCGCTGGAGTCCAGCAGGTCGAGGCTGCGGTGGCCGGTAGCGGCCACTGCACTCCAGTCTGGGCAACAGAATGAGACTTAAATTCAAAAAAAAAAAAAGAAGAGTAGAAACAACAGCTCTAATTAGGGGAGGAGAGTATGCGAGACATTCCAGAAAGGGGAGAGCTGATGGAACCTGTGGAATGGAGATGACCAGAACGATATGTTGAGAGCACTTATTAGGTAACTCATGGAATACAGACTTGCAGAGTGCCAATCACATTTGCATGATCACAAAATCTTCGGGAAGAAATCCAGACAACGGCATCCGTGAACAATTGTTCCAATGACTATTCAATACCAAATCCTGGCATTTAACAGTATTTCTGTTGAAATTGTTCCATGTTTCTATGCCAACTCAACTGATACGTATAATTCTTTCAAGGAGCTTTTTATAGGATTAAGATGGTTAGGAAGATTCACCATGAGCCTGAATACCAATAGTCACAGGATTTGTACCATGGGGTCCTTTGTGCTATTCCTAAAAAAGAAACCATAAAATGACCTTCTTTCTCCCAGGAATCACAAGGCAGGAGGGGAAAACCAAGGGCATGAACCACAAATGAGCAGTCCCTGGCATAATCTCTGACAGCGCAGGGCAGCTGGGCCAATTCCATTCCACTCAGTTTGAAGATGTCTGAAATGTTCCTATTCCTAGTAATAAGTGGCTCCAGTCCAAGATCCCTGAGGGAGGTGCTCCCGACTAGGAAAAGCAGGTTGCCTGCTGAGAAACCAAGGGTATCTTTACCTCACCACACCCCCAGATCCCTGTATCACTGTCACAGCACAGTCTGAGAGGAGTGGCCAATGGGAAAACAGCAGAGGTCTATCATTAGCTATGCAGTGAGTGGAGGGGCAGACAATAAGGCCCCGGCTCATCACCTGGGGGGCACACTTCCCCATCTCAGGCACCACAGGCATAATGTTCATTTCTCTGTGAGCTGGAGCTCTTCATGGATGCGGGTGGGCAGGGAGAGCCTGGCCCCAGTACCAATGAGAGTGGTTCAGTACTATTTCTATAGCCAGCCGCTTTGGTCTCGAGATTGAGGCTGGAGATATGGGAAAAATGATATCCTCACACTATCCTTCTTCAGAGCTATACTAGTCAACTTCCTGTGAAAACATAAGGACACTGAAGCCTAGAGTGATTACATTCATTCATTTAAAGAGTAAAGAACAATGCCTCAAACACTGAATGAATGAATGAATGACAGAGAAATCACTGCGGGAAATCCTCCATAGGGGGCTAGAGAGTCTCAATTCTCTCACAGATTTTTCCTTCCTGTAAGGAACAAAAGGGACCAAGAGACTCTAACTATATTGGCCACTGTTCTTAACCAGGTACTGCCACACTCAGGTCTGTGTGACACTCCCAATTCCACCAATAAATACTTAGTGAGCACCTATCTTGCACTGCTCCAGTATCTTGGGACAGATTCAACTGGTGAACAAAACAGACAAAGATCCCATCCTCAAGAAGCTTCTACAAAAAGAGAGGGACATAATGAGCCTGTATACTTCCTGCTTAGAAATTAAGTTTGCTTATATTTCTATAGTTAAAGAGAGAAAGAAATGCATCCCTTTGCAATATAGTAGGGTTTAGGAATGCCGCCATGGCTTATAATTTCCACCCCAAGGAAAGCACAGTAAATAGAAGGGGTCAAATGCCCTCCTTCTACCCATACCTACTAAAAAAGTCTCTTGCAGGCCTTGGTTCTAAGCTGAAAACAAACCCCACCTGTGTCCCTCCCATAACCAACCCAGCCAGCTCTGGAGCCCATGGCTGTGCCCCAAGAGTGAACCTCGCCTTTGGCCCAGAGCTGGAAGCAGGGCAACCTTACACCTGAGAGTGTTTGAGAAATACAAAATAAAACCACTTATACAGCTTATATAAGTGACCTGCAATTTCCACATCTTTACAATCAACTGCATCTAAGTGGATTCAGGGTCCAAGGAGATAGTTTCTAGGTCTTGGCTCTATTGAAGGCTGGGCAGACAACTGGGTAAATTTCAATACTTCTATCCCCACCCCATCTTACAAACATTATCTACATTTGGAAGACACTAAAGAGGAAGTCTGTTAACTGAAACAATGTCATACTGCATGTGGGTACCTAACTATTCAAAACAGTTCCTATTTCTCATCATTGAAGTTCTACTTGCCAACTGAATTGAGAAGGGGAACAGTAAGTTTACCAGGTCTAAAGTCTACCTAAGGATACAAGTAGCAAGACAGAAAAATCCATTTACAGACCACTACAACTTTTCTCATCCAGTGAACACTCTGGTGCTCAAACCCCAGTCAGAAGTACTGGATAGGTGGGTTTGAGGAAAGCAAATGAAGTCAGCTTCCTTGTTTCAAGTGATTTTACCATCCATCCATAAAAGAAAATTGACACACTATAAGGAAAGGCCCATACCTTAACATTGCTAGCATTTTCCTCAAAATTTTTACAGAAATAATTAAATGAGAATTTCAATATTAGTCCTTTCTCTTACCTGTGAAAGGTAGGGGAACTCGAAAATTTTTTAAACACTAGAAAATATTGAGATCTTTTTTTAAAAAAAGCTTTTTAACAATTGAGGTATATTTTACATATATGCACAGATCTTAGCAGTACAAGTTGATCAGTTTTGACAAATGCCCATTGTAACTCACCCATCTATCAACATACAGAGCATTTTCATCACTCTAGAAAGTTCCCTATGCCCCTTCTCAATCTATTAATACCTCCAAGTAATCACTAATCTGATTTCTATCACCTTTG